GGAAAGAGTTCAGCACAGCTTTCTCCCTCATCAGCTACCTTTCTGCATGCAGGGAGGGTATTTTAATTTTTTGGGGCCTGGGGGAAGATTCAACAAACAATGTCCTCCTGCAACGTGATGTGGAACAATCTAGAATCTGCATCTCCTACCCTGTACCGTGTAATATGCAGAACAGCTGAGAGGCATGGATTCCACGGGGTTGGAAGGGTGGGGGAGCATTAGTGTGGCATGCATAATTAATAATCTACTTGGGAAGCACACGGCTGTCTTACCTGCATAGTGGTCGAACACGGTGGGCACGTACTCTTCCGGGAAGGCATCGTTGGCATAACTCATGAGCAAACAAGTCTTGCCAACGGCACCGTCACCGACCACGACACATTTCAGCATCTTCTTGGTACCGCTGGAGTCGCTGTCTTCTTCTCCGCTGCAGCTCATCCTGGTTCCTTCGGCTTTTCTTTTTGAGCCGCACTTCTTGGTGCCCATGAAAACCTCACGGGACGGGAACACAAAGAGGGAGCGCGGTTCCCACAGGGCCCGTCCCGAGTAAACGTTCTGTCTTTTCGGTTCGGCGGTGGGGTTTCACGAAATCATAACTTTCTTCCCCAGGCTGTCTGAGCCTCCTTGTCCTGAACCATGTGGGTGAAGCGACCGAAAAATCCACACGCGAATCCGTTCGCTTGAGTCAGGAAATCTTCATCTTGGACTCGGAGACGTTGGTATTTCGCACAGCTTAAAAATAGCCGCCGGCCGGAGAGTTGCGTGCCTGTTTCTCAGCTCCAGTTTGGCTCAAAAAAAACCCAAAACAAAAACAAAACAACTTACAGATTTCATGTTAAATCCACTCCGTTTTCCGTTCTGTTTCCAGACAGAGAAGGGAAGCTGGAGGGATTTTAAGGGACTCTGTCTCTCGCTTTCTTTCTTTCTTTTTTTTCATGCAACCCCTTTTATTTTCTTCGGCTTGGTGTATGTCAGGAAATCATGGGTTTCCTGCTGAATTCCATATTAGGATCAGAGGGGCTCGTGAAGGGCTGCGAACAATAGCTGCTCTGTGTGTGTTTGTACTTCACAGGAACGCTGCCAGGACGTAGAGGAAGGGGGGGAAACAGAGCAAGAGGTCTCACTGCAGGCTGAAGTTCATTGGTTTCCTGCTCCACTTGTCTGTCCCAAATGCCGACACTTTGGAGGCGGTGCTGGAGAACAATCCCGCCACTTGCCGGTCTCCGTGGCCTGGGGAGGCTCTCCGTTTGACGCCCCTCCCCAGGAGCCAGCAGCCGCATGGGAATTTGAAAAAGATGATCTGGGATATCTATCTATATCTATCTATCTATATGATGCAATAGGCGTTTACCCTTGGACTGACCCTTGCGAGGAGTGATTGGTAACATCTGGGAGAAGTTAAGAATCGCCCCGGCCTTTTTGGGAGGCTGCTGCCGAATCGCCACGTTCTTCTCGCTCAGAAAGTTCGCTCCTGCTTGGAAGCTGCTGGGCAATTCCCATTATGAAACAAAAACAAAATCCGCGCTGAGTGCTGCTATCCCTGCTGGCCAAAGTCGTAGCTCCATGTTCAGAGGCGGTCAGCCTCTGGATGCCAGAGCCAGGAGGCAACATCAGGGGAAAGCCCTCTGCCTTTATGCCCTGTTGTTGGCCCTCCAGAGGAACTGGTTGGCCACTGTGTGAGGCAGGATGCTGGGCTAGACGGACCACTGGTCTGATCCAGCAGGGCTCTTCTGATGTTCTTATGAAGGCCTCGGTCTCTCTGCCCTGTTGTTGGCCCTCCAGAGGAACTGGTTGGCCACTGTGTGAGGCAGGATGCTGGACTAGATGGAGCATTGGTCTGATCCAGCCGGGCTCTTCTGATGTTCTTATGAAGGCCTCAACCTCTCTGCCCTGTTGTTGGCCCTCCAGGGGAACTGATTGGTCACTGTGTGGGACAGGATACTGGACCTGACGGACCACTGGTCAGATCCAGCAGGACTCTTCTGATGTTTTTATGAACGCCTCAGCCTCTATGCCCTGTTTTTGGACCTCCAGAGGAACTGGTTGGCTACTGTGTGGGACAGGATACTGGACTAGATGGACCACTGGTCTGATCCAGTAGTAGGGTTACCAGCCCTGGGTTGGGAAATACCTGGAGATTTGGGGGGTGGAGCCAGAGGAGAGTGTGGTTTGGTGAGGGGAGGGACTTCAGTGGGGTACAATGCCACAGAGTTCACCTTCCAAGGCAGTCATTTCTCCAGGTGAACTTATCCCTATTGCCTGGAGATTAGTAGTAATAGCGGGAGATCTCCAGCCACCACCTGGAAATTGGGAACCCTATCCAGCAGGGTCCTTTTTATGTTCTTATGTCCCTGTTTTCTTCTCCTCTATTTATGCATTTACTTTATTTATCTCCCGCCTTTCTCACCAATGGGGACCCGAATCGTTTTCCATCAAAATGGAGAGGGTGCAGAAGAGAGCGACGAGGATGATCAGGGGTCTGGAGACTGAGCCCTACGAGGAAAGGCTAAGGGCCCTGGGAATGTTTAGCTTGGGGAAGAGGAGATTGAAGGGGGGCAGGATTGCTCTCTTTAAATATTTGAAAGGCTGTCATTGGGAGGAGGGCAAGGAGCTGTTCCAGTTGGCAGCAGAGGAGAGGACCCGAAGCAATGGGTTTAAATCACATGCAGAAAGGTATCTGTAATGTATTGAAACAATTACATGAATCACCTCATAGGACTCCTATGTTAAGCTTCGAGCCAGACCAGGGCTCCTCTGAGCGAACTCCCTATTGGTCGCTTCGTAACAGCGACCAATCAGAACGATACCATTCCCTAGGAGGGAAAGACTCCCATTGGTCCTTAACTAAGCAATCTCATTGGTTGTTAATTGTAAATAGGCGTGGCTACATTAGCCCGGTTATGTTTAAAAGGAGCATAAGCTCCCACTGTTTTCTGTTCTGGTTTCTTACTGAGTTGAGTGCTTGTTCGTTACTTCCAATAAAGCTGAATCACTTGCTGAATCACTCTAAGAGTCCTTTGTTAGTGCGATCTAACAATTGGCGACGAGGATGGGATGTTAGAGCAGGTAGGCAGCCCTGCGGACATCCACACTTCGGGACTCGGAAGAAAGCGAGCAAAGCACAGCAGCCGATCCGGCGGAAACGTGGAGGAAGCCCTCAGAGACCGTCTCGTCTGCGGTCTCAAAGATGAAAGGCTGCAACAGAGGCTGTTCGCCCGCACCACCCTGACCTGGGCAGTGGCCTACGAAGAGGCCGTGGCCGCGGAAGCAGCGGAGAAGTCCACGAAGGAGGTCCGCCAGCGGGTGGCAGAGCCCAGTATACACGCTCAACGAGACAGCGAGGGCGAAGACGCGGATGATGACGTCAACGCGGTTCGAGGCAAGCGGACCCCAGCGAAGACTACCAACGTCAAGCCTTGCTCCGGTTGTGGCGGGAAGCACCAGCGCGGCTCCTGTTGGGCTCGTGATGTCGACTGCAGAGCGTGTGGGCGGCGTGGTCATCTGGCCAGAGTCTGCAGATCAGCGAAGAAGGATCCCTCAACTAACAACCGGTCAGCGCAGAGGGGCACTCCAGTCAGCACCCAAGGCAAGACCCGTTCCTCAGCATCGGAAGCAAGCTGCCAGTTGACGGCGACCTTGTCGAGCGCATCGGCCGTAAATCGCACCAGCAGCCAGGGCAAGATCACCGTGACTCCACTCCTCGACGGCCGACCCTGTACAATGGAGGTGGACTCAGGATCGTCCGTGACGGTGATTTCTGCCGCGTCCTGGCGCCAGTTGTTCCCGAACCGAAGCCGGCGGCGGCTCCAGCCTGCGGGAACCAGAGTGTCCGACTTCCAGGGCAACCGAATTCCCTTGGCCGGACGGGACTCTGTTACTGTTGAGTATAAGGGGAAATGTGTTAAACTGTCATTCCTGATTGCAGAGGGAGACCGGGTTAACCTGCTAGGGTTAGATTGGTTTGAGCCATTGGGCATCGGTATTTCTGGGATTAACAGGATGTCTGAAAATAAATGGGGCATGCTGTACGACCTGTTCCCTGATGTATTTGCCGAAGGGTTGGGAAGGTACAAGGGCCCCCCGGTTGCGTTTGACTTAGATCCGTCAGTCAAACCTATTAGGTTGAAGTATCGGAAAGTACCTGTGTCTCTCAAACATAAGGTGGAAAAAGAGATTGACAAACTAGTTGAGCAAGGGGTTTTAGAGCCAGTACCATACAGCAAATGGGAGACCCCGATCGTAACCCCTGTCAAATCAGATGGGTCCATACGACTATGCGCCGATTACAAATGTACGATTAACAAGGCGCTGCAGCAACATTCGTACCCGGTCCCGGTAATAAGCCACATTTTGGCTTCCCTGGGGGGTGGCAAGATTTTCGCCAAATTTGACCTGGCCCAGGCATACCAGCAGTTGCCTGTCACCCCGGAGGCTGCCGAGGCCCAAACAATTGTAACCCACCAAGGGGCTTTTAAAGTGAACAGGCTGCAATTCGGGGTCAACGTAGCACCTGGGATTTTTCAGGGCCTCATGGAACGTCTACTAAGGGGGGTACCTGGCACAGTGCCCTATTTTGACGACGTGCTGATTGCGGGCGGGTCTGAACAGGAACTACTGGACCGGGTTAAAGAGGTCCTCAGGCGTTTTCAAAATGCCGGCCTCAGAGTTAAGCGCTCAAAATGCACGCTCGGGGTGGAAAGTGTGGACTTCCTGGGGTTTCGCATTGACGCAGAGGGAGTCCACCCCACGGATGAGAAGGTATCTGCAATCCAAAACGCCCCCAGGCCGGTGAGTAAGAAGGAGCTCCAATCCTTTTTAGGACTCCTGAATTTTTATCATGCGTTTTTACCGCATAAGGCATCAGTGGCGGCCCCTTTGCACGCGCTTTTGCACAAGGAGGCAAAATGGAAGTGGGGGCAGGCCGAGGAAAAGGCTTTTGTGGGAGTCAAGGAGCTGCTGACATCTAATGCCGTACTCACGCATTATGATGAACACAAGCTCCTGGTGTTAGCTGCTGACGCTTCACCGTTTGGAGTAGGCGCAGTTTTAAGCCATCTGATGCCTGATGGGAGCGAAGCGCCTATCGCTTTTTATTCTAGATCACTATCTGCGGCAGAGCGGAACTATGCCCAGATAGACAAGGAGGGTCTGGCGTTGGTAGCGGCTGTCAAAAAGTTCCATGATTTTATTTTTGGCAGACGATTTTTGCTGGTCACTGACCACAAGCCGCTACTGGGGATTTTTGCGCCCGATAAGCAATTGCCAAACATCATGTCCCCACGCATGCTTAGATGGGCGATATTTTTGCAGGCTTATGATTTTGACTTAGAGCACCGGCCTGGGAAAGCGATTGGGCATGCGGATGCCCTCAGCCGGTGCCCGGTGCCGGACATTGGCGCAGACCCTGCCCCCGCCTGTGAGGTCTTGGCAATTGAGGAGCTTCCTCGACCCCCGGTATCATCCAGGGACATTGCAGCACACACGGCCAAGGATAGCGTGCTGTCCCGAGTATTAAACTGGGTTTGGAGGGGGTGGCCGGTTGGAAGCGTTGAACCGGAGTTCGGCCCTTACAAAAGCCGTCAAAATGAACTATCCATTTCTAAGGGCTGTGTATTATGGGGGAACAGGGTGGTGGTTCCTGACAAACTCAGGACGAGAGTGTTAGAGTCGCTGCACGAGGGTCACCCCGGTATGGTACACACCAAAGCGTTGGCCAGAGGGTATGTCTGGTGGCCGGGGCTGGACAAAGAGATCGAAGAATGGGTACGAGGGTGTCCCAAATGCCAGCAAGTCAGACCCGATCCCCCACAAGCTACACCCCAAGGCTGGGAGTCATCTGGTAAACCCTGGGCCAGATTGCATATAGATTTTGCTGGCCCTCTCCAAGGGCAAATGTTCCTAATTGTGGTGGACGCTATGTCCAAATGGCTGGAGGTCGTGCATATGAAA